AGCTCTTAGAGTTACTTTTTTAATTCTTGAAGCTCAGCTGGGGCCATTCAATAAGGGGCTCTAAATATTAGTGTTGTCCTTGGTGCTAGTTCAATACTAAACTCAACCTCCCTTTCTGGAGGCAAGCCCGGTAACTTCTCCGAAAACACATATAGAAAATCTTGAACTACTGGCACCTTCTGAATCTCTGGCTATGGGACATCACCACTCTGCACTACATGGACAATAAATCCCGAACACCCATTTCTCAACCTCTTTCTAGCTTTCACACTGCTAATCGACATACTCAACTGATGGCCCTCTCCAAAACTAAACTTGTCTCCACTATCGAGATTAAATCTTGCTTTCTTTTTCCGACAATCAATTTCTACTCCATATCTCCCTAGGAAATCCATGCCCAATATCACATCAAAGTCGGGCATATCAAAAACTATTAATTCAACTGTTAAATCTCTACCCTGGATCACCACAGACTCTCCTGACAACAATTCTTGTGTCAGAACACTAGCCCCATCGGGTAACTCTATCTTAAAGGGTTGAGTCACTCTAGTGGGTCTTAAACCTAACCTCTCAATCATCCCATACGATATAAATGAGTGAGTAGCTCCTGAATCAATTAAGGCATATAAAGGAACAGAATGAAATAGTAACTAACCAGTAACGGCTGATGGACTGGCCTCTACTTCACTTTGTGCCACAGTAAACACTCTGGCAGTTGTAGTGCCTCCAAAACTCTGTGCAGGTGGTGGAAGAGAAGCTTTACAATCTCTCATCATGTGCCCTGGCTGTCGGCACCTATAACACACTTTCTGGTCTCTCAGACACTCTCCTGAATAGTTCCTCCCACATTTAGGACAAAGAGGAAACCCTTTCGTCTGGGGCCGCTTATTCTTCCACTCTCTTCTATTCTGTCTAAACTGAAATCTCTTCTTCTGATTCTTCATTTCTTTACCTTTTACACCTTCCAATTTCTCTCTCTGCAGGGCGGAGGGTGGCTTACTTAGTCTTTCTATCGAGGAGCCTACTAGGGGAATTCTCAAAGATCTCCGCTTTCATTGCCCGCCTCAAGGCCTCACTATGAGTTCGAGAGGGATCGAAACTTGTCATTATATCCCGGGCTATTTCTGGCTTTAACCCGTGTACAAACTTATCTCTTCTCAATGCCGGAATACTGACTATTTCTGGTGCAAACCTTACAAGAGAATTGAATTTCACCGAGTACTCCTTCACGGTACTAGACCCTTGCTGTAAGTTGATAAATTCTTAGACCTTCTCATGAACTTGGTCCTCTGTTCTATACTCGGCCTCAAACTCTTGCTTAAACTCTTCCCAAGTCATCGTTGCCATATCATGGGTTTCTTTCATTAATTCCCACCAAATTCGGGCATCACCCCGAAACAAGAAACTCACATACCGGATTTTCTCCCGGTCTGTCATGGGGAATAAACCTGTCATACGATCTACGGACCTAAACCATTCTTCTGCTGTTATTGGATTCGTAGTACCCTTAAACTCTGAGGGTTGATATTGACTGGAAAGACCGTAAATCGGTTCAACTCTGTTCTGTACTGGGCGAGGTACCGGTTGTCCTCTTTTGACGTTAGGAACTGGTGGTACCTGCACGGGGGTTTCAACTCTCCCTTGGCTCTCTGCCATAACTTGCTGTATAATTCCCCAAATTCGAGCTTCATCCAAGGAAGGGGGCCTAGGCTCTAGTGGGTTAAGTGGGTTAGAAGGTTCTCCTTCATTCGACACACTCTTACCATGCTTTCGGTAACTACGCCTCATTTACAAAACAACCAAATTTGCTTAATTCAAGAAACACTTAGAGTAAGGAAAGAATTAACTCACACAGTTGGTTCTCGGACGTCGTAGCGATGAGAATAGTACACTGTTAAATCCCAAAATCTCGGTTCTGATACCAAAAATGTAACAACTGCAGTATACTAGTAAAATACATGTATAATAATAAAAGTAAATGGGCCCAGAAATTTTCTTGTATTACTTATATATATTCTTTGTACAAAAAAGAGTATCATTTACAAAATATCATTCAAAAACAGGGGAACGGTGTAGCTATTGCTCTTCGCTTACTGACGCCCCTCCGACTGCATCATCACTTAGATCCTGCATCCATAAAGGAAAATAACGGGGTGAGCACAAAATAATGCTCAGTAAGTAAAACCGCTACTTTTCTATCCCCGTAGCTCATTCTCTTAATTATTTCCTTACACTTATTCTGTTTCTGTTTCTCTTTCACACAGCTTTCTTTTATTAATTTCTGTTATATGTCATGGCCTCATCTTATTAGAGGCATGGCCGAGTGGAGTTCACACAGCACCGTCCCACTTTTCATGACTATCGGGTGGAGATCACAAAACACCAACCCGTTCCTCATAACTATAGGGTGGAGATCACAAAGCACCAACCCGTTCCTCATAACTATCAGGTGGAGATCACAAAGCACCAACTCGTTCCTCATAACTATCGGGTGGAGATCACAAAGCACCAACCCGTTTCTTATAACTATCGGGTGGAGCAAAGCACCAACCCATTTCTCATAACTATCGGGTGGAGATCACAAAGCATCAACTCGTTTCTCATAACTATCGGGTGGAGATCACAAAGCACCAACCCGTTTCTCATAACTATCGGGTGCAGATCACAAAGCACCAACCCGTTTTTCATAACTATCGGGTGCAGATCACAAAGCACCAACCCATTTCTCATAACTATCGGGTAGACATCACAAAGCACCAACCCGTTTCTTACACTACAAGAAAACTGACATTTTGCAACCATTTTTTTAGCAACTAACCATAATTAGTTGCAAAAAGGCTACATTTATCAACTAAATTACATTAGTTGAGCAAAGAGGATTAAAATTTTGGGGCCCACATGTTCCAACATTTGGCATCTAAAGTTAAATTTTTGCGACTATTTTGTTAGTCACAGAACCGGTTGCTTTAGTGACTAATAAATTTAGTTGCAATTTTTTTCGGGTGATTTTTCCCTCCAAAATTTGATAATTTGTATCTAAAATATGGCTTTTGCATCTAAATTTTTGGTTACAAAAAACAATTTTTTGCAACTACTAATTTAGTTGCTAAATTAGTTGCGAATAATTAGGAATTTATTAGTAACTATTATGATTAGTTGTAGAAAAATAAAATTACCAAGTATCCCATATTTGGACAGTAATTACAAAGGCCCCAAAGTATATACAGCAACTAAATTTGATTTAGTTGCTAATTTAATTTAAAAAATTCATATTCCCCCCAAAATTATTTGTTCCCGCCAGACCTCAATTATGGGCAACTAACACTAATTCTTTATTGACTAAATTTTTAGTTGCAAATTGACTTATTTCCATAATAGAATTATATTTCAAATTAAATAACTAATTAGGACCCTTACTTTTTTAAGTTATTTACAGAATACCCTATCCTATATAAAGCAAGCATTTTTTGCAATTTCATTTCTTCTCCACGCATGTTTGCCTTAGCTTTTTCCCCAAATTTCCCAAATGCACAACCCAAATTTCATCTCTTCTCCACGTATGTTTGCCCTCGCTGTTGCTCGAATTTCCGAACTGCAGAACCTGACTTCATCTTTTCCCACGCATCTTCATCTCTTCGATCTGACGCGCCTTCATCTTAATCGCTGTTGCCCGAATTTCTGAACTGCAGAACCTAACTTCATCTTTTCCCCACGCATCTTCATCTCTTCGATCTGACGCATCTTCATCTTAATCGCTATTGCCCAAATTTCTGAACTGCAGAACCTAACTTCATCTCTTCTCCACGTATCTTCATCGTTCAATTGATCTCCTTGGTTTCCTTCATTCATCGAATACGAGGCAGTCCCTAACCTCCTGTAAGTACAATTTTTGATTCTTTAGTTCTCTCACATGGTAACATTGAATCTGATTTCAATTATGTTTGAGTGAGACCTTTAATCTTGTAATGCTATTTATATTACCCAAAAAGAAACTCTCTACACCTCTCTCCCTATGCCTTCTTTAGCACCCTTCGACGTTAACGGAACGAAAGAAGAGAGGCAGATGACGAAGAAAATAACTCTTCAAATTTTAGACGAAACTGACTTTTCGGTGGAAAAGAAGAAAAAGAAGGACTCAAAGAATAAGGCGGATGACTCTGAAAGGTCTAAGAAGAAGGATAACAGGAATTGAAAGGTTATGGAAGAAGATGACAAAAAGAGAAGTGAAACGAGCTCGGAATTAGGTGAGCCTGTGAATTGGAAATCGGATATATAAGAAGCAAAAGAAAGCGAAAGTAGATGCTGAGGTGGAAGAGGAGGAGAAAAGTGAGAATCCGAATGCTATTTCTCGGTTTCAAATATCGGAACCATTGAGATAGAAACTCAAGTCTAAGGGTATTGAGTCTCTGTTTCCAATTCAAGCCACCACTTTTGATATGGTTCTTGATGGCTCCGACTTAGTTGGACATGCACGCACTAGTTAGGTATAATATTCTCTTTTAATTGATATTTTTTTTTTTTTTTTTTTTTTTTTAACTTTTGATATCTTAGTTTGGGAGAAGACTACAAGAAGGAAGAAATGGAAATAATTATGTGTGCGGCATGCCTCTGCCTCTTGCATTCATCTTCTAGAAGGCCAACAATGAAGACGGTAAACTTCTTTTTTCATAGTCTGAAAAAAATTTTGCGCATCAAATTTCCATTCTACCAAAAGTGTGAAGTAATAGAGAATCCTCAAGTTTGACCTCTTTACTGATTGTGCATGTTGGATCAACGTTTTAGATTATTGGAATTGACTCAAGTAAATGCTCTAAAATTTGCAAGATCTGAAGCAAAAGCCGAAGTACTTGCTGACAATCACAGTTGGTCTAAATCAGAGGCAAAATATTGATAGAATGGTTAAAAAGGTGTATATGAATGGACCATTTCTTTCTTTTTTTCTACCTTAACTGATTTTTACTTCAGAGATACTGAGGTTTTTGTTACATAAATTTTGATAGTTTTCTGAGGATTTCCAACTTTTGCTTTTCCACTATGATGGTCGGACAAGTGAATGGGATGAATTTGAGTGGTCAAAGAGCGCAATCCATGTTAGTGCAAGGAGACAAACAAAATGGTGAGATTTTAAGATCTTCTGCATAGTATTGAATTCCAACCTTTTAGCTCCTTTAATTTGAGAGCTACCAAAGTATAGAATAAGCATCTCATTGTTTTTATATGTTTTGTTTTCATGATCATCCATTCTTGAATTGTTTGGATTTATTGTCAGGGTTTTGATGCGAGAAATCTTCAATTTAAGCTTTCATTTTCACATATGATTGGCAGGTGGTATGCAAAATGGTTTTTGCATCCTGACGTTGTTGCAGCTTATGAGTATATTTTTATTTGGGATGAAGATCTTGGCATGGAACACTTCAACGGGGAGAAGTAAGTTCTATTTTTCTAGTTATGATTTCTGGTCAAGTTTAACAGTCACAACTTTCTTTCTAAATTGCTCCATATGAATAACCATGTATATTGAGTTGGTTAAAAAACATGGGCTAGAGATCTCTCAACCAGGTCCGGAGCCCAATAACGGATTGACATGGCAAATGACAAAGTGTAGGCGTGATCGAGAGGTTCACAAGTAAGCTTTATAGCTCACTCTCTTGCGCTCTGTCTCCCTTTTGTATAAAGTAGACATTTATTTGATGAGTATTGCTGGATTATTCATATAATATCAGTTTGCTAAGACATGATGCATTTTGAATTTATTTTCAGGTTTACAGAAGAGAAACCTGGCTGTTGCAGTGATCCACATGTGCCTCCATGTGTTGCGTATGTTTTTTCTCTCTCACACGTAGATTTTGTATTATGTTGACAAATCTCAATTGGTGAGTTAACATCATTCATAATTATAGTACTTGCATGCTAGTTATTGACATGAAAAATCATGCTTTAGTGAAGAAATGTCAATTGCCTGTTGGCAATAACGAATATTTATGGTTCCTTATATACGACTTGTTAATTGACACATTTTAATTGTGCTGCATAGTTACAATAACATCTTTTAACTCTTTCTATAAAAGAATGGTATATAAGTTCGATTGTGAAAGAGCAATAACAAATTTTGTTGTCCCTAATTTTCCTTTAAGAATTCAATCGCTCATGTCTCTCTAACTATATGACTCGCTTTCCTGGGCCATGGCTTACAGAAAAAGTCATTTAATTGATGCATTCTCTCTGCAAATTAGGAATCAACTAGAGAAATCAATAAAGATTTCCATGAATCTTCATGCCTCAAACCTATGTTGATTAAATATGTGCGCATATATATCCATAACAGTTAGGAGTTATTATGGGTTCTACTTAAGGTCTAACGTTTAACTCTATGGATTGTAAATTAACTCCATCACCCATCTCAGGAAACATAAGTAATTGATTTTACTTAAGGTCTAACGTTTAACTCTCTACCTAAGGACCCGATTGAGATCCCTTGGGGCAATTATGGGGTTGAATATATTGTTGAATCTTCTAGGGTCTTCACAACAACTAACAAGGCCTCAGCTCACATAAAGGTTAATTCTGAGTTTTTTGACACTATTTTTTTTTTGTTCATTGCTATCTTTTTACCTCTCATACATTTATGTAGAAATTTATGATATTGGTTAACTAAAATTACACTGCAAACACTGGTAAAGTTATGATATTGGTAAACTTATATAGAAATTTAACTTAGGTAGGCTGAATTTGAAGGGATTGAATTTAATGAGGTGACAATAGGAAGAGTTGAAACCGAGGGACAGCATGCTGAACAATGGTGAATAGTAAAGATGATGTATGCAATGTATAAGAAGAACAATCAAAAGTACAGAAATTGGGACCAAAATCAGACCTTGAATTAAAACCAAGATTATTGGCATAGGTGAGATGACTATTTTTCCATCAGATTTCAAACATTTATAGCCTTTATGAATAAGGTTGTATTCTACAAAAACACATTTGGCTGAATGAAAGAAGAAATTTAACTTAGTTTAAAATTTTAAACTAGGGAATTGAAGTTTAGATTGTTAATCTGTGAGATATTTGCTTTTCTACTCCATCAATTTGATTTTGGTTTGGTGCTGCAGTACGTTCTGTGAACTTTGAGGAGTAGTCTTTCTTTTCTATTGCCATTTCATAAGTTTTTGTCACATATTGTATGCCCCAGAATAATTATAATTTATTTGTAATAATTTAGTTTTTTGCTTGACTTATTGATTATGCATTGAATTGATGGTAGGAAAAAATGATACATTCGTGCAATAATGCTTGAAGGAGCATCTCATCTTACTTGAAGGAGTAGAAGCAGAGTTAAGGCGCATAGTCCAACAACAAGAAAATAAGAAATTATGATATTTGATGTTAGTGTTCATATTTTTATATTGTGATGGATTATTTTGTTGATGTTGAATGTATAAACTAAGTCAATACAAAATGCTTTTGCCACTAATTATTTTCTAAAAAAAAGCACATTCTGCAACTAATTTTGTAGTAGCAAACAGTAATTTATCGTAATTGGATTCCACATTCAGCGTCTAAAATGACTATAATTAGATACTAAATTTTGGTCACCAAAAGATACATTCGGCCACTAATAAAATAGTTGCAAAAACCTATTAGATTTCACATTCAGCATCTAAAATTACTATAATTAACTACTAAATTTTGGTCACCAAAAGATATATTTGGCCACTAATAAAATAGTCGCGAAAACCGTTTGGATTCTACATTCAGCGTCTAAAAGAGTTACAATTAGCCACTAAATTTTTGTCACTAATAGATACATTCGTCGACTAATAAAATAGTTGCGAAAGCCTTTTACGAAATTACCCTTACACCTTTGGCGTCTAATTTGTGTGGGATTCGCGAAAAATTATTAGACACTAAAACTGACATTTTGCAAGTAATTGATTAGTCGTTATACAATTTTACCAAATTACCCTTGAACTTTTAGCGTCTAAGTTGGGGGACTAATTTAACTAGCATTTACCGACTATTTTGCTAGTCGCAAAAAAGAAAACTTTTTGCGTCTAAACCACAATATAGACGCGCTATGAATCTGAGACCAGCCTACGGCAACTAAGGGGGCGACAACCAAATTTAGACGCTTAAAATGGCTTAGCATCTAAATGTGACTTTCTGCGTCTAATTTTGCTAGACGCAGAATGCCAGTTTTCTTGTAGTTAAATTAGTGTTCTTCTCACTCACTCCACTCTAGCACTTCTAATCCTCTCTGCTCTTAGAGTAGTTCATTCACAAAGTTCTCTACTCTTAGAGCAAGTGCATTCACAAGGTTATCTACTCTTTCTTAAGTCACTTCTCACAGCACAATTAATGCATATAGATGGTTTATCTTCACTAATGCACTTATGAAATGCCAATATGCCATGTTGCAAGAATTAAGATTTACTACTCATACTCAAACCTCTCTTAGGCATTTCATCAAACAACTAAAGTGCATACCAAGACTCTACTATAACAATAGCTCTATTTCTTTCTCTAACCATCCCAAATGGGAGAAACTCCCTCACATAGCTATAAATCCTGCCAAGGAATAACACTTCTAAAAAGTTTTACTCAAAACCTTCCAAACCTCATCTCAACTACATCTTCTCATCACATATCAACACTTCTCTTAAATGAAGTGTATTCAATCACAACATGGATCAATAATCTCAATTTCATAGCATATAACATGCACATAACATACATACATAATTGCTATTAAATCTCTACTCAAAAAGTTATCAAACCTCAACTTAGGTGGGGATTTACTTACCTTGAAATGGAGGGATCTCACTAGCACTTCCTTTCCTTTGGACTGCTAGCCTTGTCTCTACCCTTTAAACAATAAAACCATGAGACTTCCACATACAAATATATCCAAAACCTCACAAAATCTTACATCCAAAGCAAGAATCCTTACCTTATGATGCCTTAAATTGATTTTCTACCCCAATCACTCCCAAAAGCCCTTTAAAAATCCTTGAACTAATGAAAAAGGAATTGAGAGGAAGTAAGAAAGGAGAATGGCGGTGGAGAAGAAGAATGAAGGGTTTGCAATGACTTAATTCCTTTTAACACAATTTATGCCCAAGCATTCCCATTTTGCCCTTACTCTTCCTTAGGAATTCCATCTATATCCTTTGATTCATTGCAATCACACCCCCACACCAACATATTCTCCATGAATTTTTCTTACATTTCACTCCCCACTTTTCTTACTAATTAGGGGTAGAATGGTCAAATTGTCCTTAGGGAAGAAAATATCTAAAACTTAACAATATTTTCAGCGACCCGTCACCGCGGCGAAGAAGGTTCTGTCACCGCGGCGAAACTTTCCAGCAGCTCCTCCGTGGCTGCAACACCTCTTCGCCGCGGCGATGATTCTTCTTCGCCCCGGCGAAGCCTGGAACCTCAAAAATCCTCTAATTCCAACCAATTTCAAGGCAATACTCAACATATCAATACTACCAAAAGCCAACCAACCAACCAATATTAATAATAAACCGACTCAAATAAGAGCAAATAAGAAACATTAGCTACGTACCTCAAGTGGGGCGTTACAGACGGCCCATTAGACCATGTTGAGATCCTCAAAGATACTCGTCATGCCTTCCTGCCATTTTCAACTGATCCTCATTCGCCACCTGCACTTAATTTTCAATTTTTTATCTTGGGTTTCAATCAATTTCAAAGCAGTAGGTCGAGATTCACCAGAAAGCAAGTCTGAGTTTTGTTTCAAATGAAATAGAAAAGGAATTTGGTGTTTTTACATTTACCTAGAATTAATAATATTTCCCTTCTAATTAGTTTTCCAAATTTCGTCCCTAAAAATGCATTTTTCACAATCGAGGACAAAATTATATTTTGTCCCTAATAAGTTTCCAAACTTTGTACAATTAGAGACAAAACATTTCGTCCCAGAAAAAACAGATGTTTAGCTACAAAAATTTTGGTCCAAAAATAATTAATTTTTTCCCCAAATGATTTCCCTCCATAATCCATATTATTTCATCCTTCCCTCCAAATGGCATTGTTGTGGGAATGGAAGTTGAGTGCTAAACATTTTTTGACAAAATTATATTTTCGTCCCCTAAAATGACAATTCTAGGATGAAACTAAATTCATCCCTAAATTTAAAATTTCTTGTAGTGTTTCCAAATTTCGTCTCTAAAAATGCATTTTTCACAGTCTAGGACAAAATCATATTTCATCCCTAATAAGTTTTCTAAATTTTGTACAATCAGAGACAAAAAACTTTCGTCCAAGAAAAAAAGGTTTTTGCTTACAAAATTTTTCGTGGAAAAATAATAAATTTCGTCCCCAAAAATGTATTTTTACAATCGAGGACAAAATCATATTTCGTCCCTAATAAGTTTTCCAAATTAGAGACAAAAACTTTCATCCCAGAAAAAGAAGGTTTTTAGCTACAAAATTTTTTGTCCAAAAATAATAAATTTCATCCTAGAATGAATTCCCTCCATATTATTTCATTCTCCCTCCATATTGAGGGCGAAATCTATTGTTGGTACGGGGTGGAAATTGGGTGCTAAGCATTTTGTGATGAAATTACAATTTTGTCCCTAAAATGACGAAACTGAATTTGTCCTTAAATTAAAAATTTGTTTTAGTGGCTTGAGCCCCCACTAGACTTTACATGGCTCCGTCCCTGGGTGTTTACGGTGGATAAGTGGCAATTGCTCGAAGTATGGGATTTGTGCGTCAATGGCTATGAGCTAAGGATGATTAGTGCCTTTCAAATATCTAAGCAAGAAGAGAAAATAGAAATCTCAAATAAGAAAAATATTTTTTACCAATTAGTCAGTTTTTACCAATAAGAAACTTTCATAATATTTTTTTTTTTTTTTTTTGGTTGGCCTGCCATAATTTCAAAGGTGATGCTAAATGTACCTCACTTATTTATTAAACAGCCTATTTTAAATATAATTAATACTGTCATTAAAAAATTGAAGAGCAATTAATAACAAGGAGATGCCAATCTTTGCGAATTTGTAGGGAAATAAGATACTGACTTAGAATAGAAAAGAGATAAACTAGAGAGGCCAGATTACCAGATCAACTCCACAAGTGATTTATAGTTATACACTTGCAAACATGTATATCTTGACTCAGATCACTTCCTTACTCCCATAAAAAAAAAATTATTCTTTTTAATTATTTCTAGGTTCATTTACGTTGTTACAAAACTTGATCAAGATCGCATAAGCTATATATCGATAATTTTTGCAGGCAAATACCCTCTCATATATTTGTTTCCTAACTTTATTTAATCTTGCGTTGTGAAAGTTTTCTTGATTTCTTCTTATTGATCATCTCAATTCGATTGGCAGATGGAAAATGCCAAAACAAAAATTGAAGAAATTGAAAGAATTGATCATGCAATGATTGACATGGAAAGCCCACACTTCCACTTAGCAACTTCTATGAGGAATGAAATTGAAAGAATTTATCCGCTATTTGATAGATGCACTATTCATAGAGTTTTAGAGAATCTACGTCGATTAGATGAAAAGGCCTACACGCCTCGAGTCATCTCCATTGGTCCAATTCATCATGGTAGACAAGAGTTAAATGAAATGGAGAAGTACAAAAGAAGGTACCTACAAGATTTTCTTCAACGAACCGACGTAAGTTTAGAGGATTTTATAAAATTTACAAGGAAAAGGAAGAAACGGTGCGTAATTGTTATTCAGAATGCATTGAACTTAATAGTGATGACTTTGTGACGTTGATTTAGTGGATGGCATCTTTGTTATTGAGGTATTATTGAGGAACACTATGGAGGAGGTTCTTATTTCTGATCAAGTATTCAGTAATCCATATAAAATACATGATATAAATGATGATATGTATTTGGTAGAAAATCAGCTTCCATTTTTTAGCCTTGAGGATTTGTTTACGCTAGCGAATATCAACATATCCTCGAACAGAGATGGTAAACTTTCTATGCTTGAGATTACCCATGAGTTCACTAGATTTCATTGCGGATTTTTAGGAATAGAGAACTTTGAAGAAAGAAATTATTTGAGGGTGAAACATCTTGTTCATTTTCTTAGAATTTGCATGGTGCCTTCTAAATTGCCAAAGGAAGTGAGACCTAAAATTCTGACGACACCAAATGTATCAAAACTACATAAAATTGGAGTGAAGTTCAAGTTGGGGTCAACTGCAAATTTGTTTGATATAAAATTCCGTGATGAAATATTGGAAATTCCACGGCTTAGTATATGTAGCCCGATGGAATATGTAGTGAAAAATCTTTTGGCGTTTGAGCAAAGTCAATGTGATGATAATCTCTTATGTGACTATGTTATCTTCATGAATTATCTTGTTCACACTCCCAAGGATGTGGAATTGTTCGTTCGACAAGAAATTATCGAAAATCTTCTTGGGGATAGTGAAAAAGTACCAACTCTTTTTCATAAACTTGTGGAGCAGGCTACTTTTGATTCTTATTATTTCCAGTTTTCTTCTCTTGTTGAAGATCTGAATGCGTATTGCAGAAGACCTTGGAACAAGTGGAAGGCAAATTTGAAACAAGAAATTTTAAGAACTCCATGGACTGCCATTTCTGTCATTTTTATTGTCATTCTTCTTTACTTGTATTCACTTTAATACAGGCCGCATTTGTGTCCTACAGAAAGCATATATAGATTTCTATCATTTATTGTTACCAAAATGTTAAAAGAGTTATTCCTATGGCATGCGTTTTCTTTTATGATCTATAATACATGTTTTGGTTGAGAAGAGGTCTATAAATTTAATTAATTGCTTTAGTCTTTAGGAATATTTAGCTTTAAATATGGGATCTATTTACTTGTGTTGGAGTCTATTTACTTGTGTAGGGGTTAATTTAAGAATATTAATGCTTTATTCTTAAATGTATCTTCTTCAAGAATTTTATTTTATTTCTGTATAAGTTGAATCATTTGTTTGGGGGACTTAAATAAATAGAGCTATTGTAGCTTCAATCATTTGACTCACTCAGCTTCTATATTGGGTCTATGAATGTAATGCATCATAAGAAATACTGAATGTTGGATCTTTAGCTTGAAATTGTAAGTATGCAAATACTCTCTTATATATATGTTTGTTTTATTGATTGAAACAATTATCATATACTATTGAGATTACATTGTTTGTTCATTTTCCTCTACTAGGATTTTCACTTTCTTGCATTTCAAACTTTAATAAGATTGTGCGCATGTATACATAAATTTCACTCTTAACTTCTGTTTTTATTTCTTGTAAGACATGAAATTTTTTTCGATCATTCCTCTTCATCTTTGCAAAGGAATGTGTTAAATTAAATAAGGAATAGACCATAAGAAATATTAATTGATTTATGCTACTATGCTATGAATTTTCCATCCCTGAATTAAATGAAATATAGTATTTATGATTTGAGTCCTTGGCACCCATGAGAGCTTGGCGGGATGGTTAGGCATATGGTTTGCTTCCATGAGATCTAGGGATTGAGCACCCTCACGGTCACCTACATGGCCAAAGACCATTGTTTCTCATTTCCTAAAGATTACAAGGTTTGACAGGGGCTTCAGTTTCAAGCCGGGCTTGCAAAAGTAACTCCAAAACGATAGCGCTTTGTTGGCGCTCAGCTAAGTATTAAATGGAGCCTTATCTTCTGAACTCTTAACACTTTGATCCACATATCTAAATTAAGAAGCTCTCTTCAACTATGATCAGAGAATTAATATTTACTGGCAAGTAACATTAACACATCCATCCAGGTGCAACTGCATTTTTCAAACGAGAACCAACTAAGTCATTGACAAATAGAAATTCTGTCATGGTTTTGTTTTTGTGAATCACTTAATTGGGTTATTATTAAGTCATTGACAACTGTCTATCGCTGGAAAAGTCTTATGTGGCATAAAATAATTTTCCAATATGATCTAATTTTATTTACTATTAAAGAGGCTTCACAGTTGTCATGATATTAATATCATTTAGCCAACGTTGAGTTAAATCAAAATGATTAGGCTAACTGCAAGAAAAAATAAAAAATTATGTGTTCATACAGTGCTATCTGTAGCACTACATGAACCCATTTCACACTTTGCATATTTAAACAATATAATTACAAGTTGATACCAAAATGATTGTTCAGGGAAGATCAAAATAAATATATTCAAATTTCGTTAGTAACATTTTTCATTCAAAATTGCACCTTGTGAAATAGATCTTATCACTGTCACACACATTATTAGAGTTTTAGAAATAAACATTTTTCATTAAATTTAAAATATCAACTCTTTTTTTAGGTTTCTAACATAAATTTCATTCTGATTTCTGTTTTTATTTCTAGTAAGACATTTTTTTTTTAATTAGCACTAATTTTCTTTGCTTAGTTCCTCTCAAGTTCTGAAATTCATACTTTATTTAATTTCTTTCACAACTTTTGTAAAAACTGTCTTTATATTCATTTAAAATGGCGAAGAATTGCATTTCTCTTTTAAAGGACTTTATGGTTTATATATGTAATTTTATCATCATCATTTTAAAGGATATCAGTAATTTAACCAAAAATTGGGGGCTTTTAGTAATCAACCAACTTCCCAAACCGTAAACCTTTCCATCCAAATATTTCATTTAAATACCAAAATGCCATTTTCCAACCTTAAAAAACGCATCTTAAATTTTCTTTTGCCAAAACTAACTAAACCCTCTCACTATATTGCTCTTCCAAAACCCCCTCAAAATTTAAAAATTACTCTCAACCCCCTACTATTAAAAATGTAATTAAAAAAAGTGAAAAAGAAAAAACAAATAGTAGAAAAAAAAGCTGCAGAAAGTAAAAAAGGTAAACTCCTCCGAATTAAGTGGCTGCAACGTTATCATTATTTTTTCTTATTAAATGGAGCAAATGAGAGAGATAAGAAAAGAGAGATATTAGGGTTTAGGTATTTTTTCTTTATTCCTCTTAGTTTTTAATTTTACAATATTATTTTTATGACAATTACTCTTTCAGCCCCGAGCTTTTTAATTAAACATAAATGTTTTAACGGTTAGTAAACAATAGGGGGTTGAGACAATTTACAAAACATGACAGGGTTTTTGGTAATGTTGATATGATATAAGGAGTTTAGAAAATTGTCCCTTTCGCTTTTTAAAAATTGGGAAAACTGAAATAAGTTTGCTAGGGGCATAAAGGATTTTGTAAAAAATCAAGAAAGGAAAAAGTGCAGAGGAAGCTTCAGTAGGAAGAAGAAAACAGAATCTGAAAATTTCGTTAACTAATTCTGTTAAAGTACATAAGCACTTATATAGCCAATATTTGTTATAAAACGACAGTGCTTTTAAATTATGTAATTACACTTAAGCCATGTAGCTTATACAATCATTACAAAATAGACCTGGCTTCTCTAAAACTACTCTATTTCACTTATTCCTCACAGCACCTTTGCTTAACATTTCCCCTTAAGCCAGACATCCACTTTGTTTAAAACTTTCTCAGCACCTTTGCTTAACATTTCCCTTTAAGCTAGATGTCCACTTTGTTTAAAACTTTCTCAGCACCTTTGCTTAACATTTCCCTTTAAGCTAGATGTCCACTTTGTTTAAAACTTTCTCAGCACCTTTGCTTAACATTTCCCCTTAAACCAAACATTTTCCTATCACCAAAAAAATGAATTTTCACTCAACCACATACCACTTCTTATATCATAACATCAGACTAGCATCAGACCACAGCATCAGACTAGCTTCATACCACTCTTTATATCATCAAGCACAAAACTTCAAACTACATTATCAGTCAATCAGCAAACCACTTCTTATATCAAAGCATCAAGGAAGAACATAAGAGCTGAATTAACAATAATATGCAGTAAGACATATCAACAATATGCAGTCAAACAGACCAATGATTATCCAGTCACTGTGTATTGTTATTTCAGATCTGGTAGCGAAGCAACTACATTCAGTTTATCTTTTAGCATTAAGAATCATTGTGCAGGGAGGGCTTTAGTAAGAATATCAGCAAGTTGATATTCTGATGCGACATATTGCACAGCTAATTTCTTATCCATGGCTAACTCTCTTACGTAATGAATATCAATCTCGATATGTTTAGTCCTGGCATGAAAAACCGGATTCGATGACAATGCACCTACACTCATATTATCACACCAAAGTATAGGAACATCATTTATCTAAATTCCAAGCTCTTGAAACAGATGCTGAATCCAGACTAATTCTATGGAAGCTTGACTCAAGGCCCTATATTTAGCCTCTGTTGAAGAAAGTGAAACAACTTTTTGCTTTCTAGAACCCCATTGAACTAGATTGCCTCCAAGGAAGATACTGTAGCCAGAGGTGGATCTCCTATCACTTACATCGCTGGCCCAATCTGCATCAGCATACCCTTCTAAGAGAAACTTTGCATTTTTCTGGAAAAATAGTCCATGCTGAATAGTCCTTTTAATATACCTAAGCACTCTCTTGCATGCAGTCCATTGATTAGTCGTAGGATACTTAAGGAACTGACTTAACCTATTGACTGCAAAAGCCAAGTCAAGTCGTGAGAGTGTTAAGTACTGAAGGCCCCCTACTAAGCTTCTATACAGTGTAGGTTGATCAAAAAGGGGACTGTCCTCTTTTCCCAATTTCATACCTGTGGCCATTAGGGTATTACATGGCTTATATTCAGTTAAACCAGTTTTGCTCAATAAGTCTTGAGCATATTTGGTTTGAGTGAGAAATAAACCTATCTCATTCCTATAAACTTCAAAACTAAGAAAGTAGCTTAACTCTCCTAAAGTTTTAAGTGCAAAGCAGCCATTCAAATCAATAACAATTTGATCAATCAACTCTGAATCATTTCCAGTAATCAAAATATCATCAACATACACAAGTAAGTATATTACCTAAGTATCTTTCTTGAAGAAAAATAGGCTTGTATCTGAAGTGGAACACTGAAAACCCCAAGTTAAAAGTGCAATTTTTAATTTATCAAACTAGGCCCAAGGTGCCTCTTTTAATCGATACAAGGCTTTGTTGAGTTTGCACACATGCTTGGGATGAGTCATATCACCAAAACCCTCAAGTTGCATCATGCAACAGTCTCTGTGAGGTCTCCATACAAGAAAGCGTTGTTAATATCAATTTGTTGTATCTGCCAACTATTATGGACTGCCAAGGAAAACATAATCCTAATGGTAGATGGGTTTGATCACTAGGGAAAATGTGTCAAAATAATCAACCCCTAGTGTTTGTTGAAAGCCTTTAGCCACTAACCGAGCTTTGTATTTCTGAAGTGTGCCATCAAATTTTAATTTGGTTTTAAATACCCACTTGCAGCCTACTATATTCATATCAGAAGTGGGAGGAACTAACTCCCATGTGTTGTTCCTTTTTAATGCTTCAAAATCTTCCTTCATAGCTTGTCTCCATTCTGAAGTAGTTAAAGCTTCAGACACACTTTTTGGTTCAGATAGGATGGAGGTTGTTACCAGATATGCTTGACTTGTAATCTGATTATTCCTGGTTTTTGATCTGGTGAGCATTGGATGACAGTTTGTAATAGTATTGGTGTGTGCTATAGGTACTGACATTGTTGCATTATTCTGGGAGATGGGTAAGACAACCTCCAGGTG